TTTTTAACCGGAGGTTAGGTTATTCCGGATTTAAATCGCGTATATTTGTTTTTTACAAATATATTGTTTGTATAGTTTCATTTCCTATGTGTAACAATGGCAAAAACCCAAGAACTCGATACATAGTTATTTATCAAATATTTAATAAATAACGATATATTATATCTACATACATATATATATATATATATATATATATATATATACAAAAACCTTGTCTTCAATTTATACTTACTAATAAATCTATACACGTTGCAGACAAGGACAGTTTACGCAATCCGGTTTTGAAAATAGGTAGCGACTTAGAATGTCGGATTTCAAATGGGAAATCATTCCACAATTTTGCAGCCTAAATTGTAAAGGAATCTTTGTAATACTCAGAGCGAGTGAGAGGAGGCTTTAGTAGGTTATCCATTTTAGGCCTTACTTCACGGTTGTGATCATCCCCGAGGAAGCGAAAACGATCCTGTGGTGGTAGAGGAACTAGAAGGACGAAAGGTATGCAATTAAAAAAAGGAGAATGATGAAGTATAACAATAAGGTTATAACAAAAGAACCTGAGGGTATGTATGTAAGATGAACGTATGTATGTAAGTATGTAGGTGAGTTGAGTGGTGTGGTGCAAATGAAAGTGTACTGTGTAGGTGAAGATAGGAGAAGCTCGAAGCTGGGTATACGAAGTTGCTCTCCAATGTTGGAGACCGAGGGCGGAGGTGCAGACCCGGAGCGCAGTGGGTTCGGTGCGGAGGCGGTGAGTGGAGAGGCTGCACCGACAGCGGCGGTAGTGCAGCAGTGGATTTTATCACTTTGTACTCGGAGGTGGAGTTCTACTTCGTCTTGGCGTTGGCTTTAGTCACTCCTGCCGCACCAAACTCACTTAGTGAAAGTAAGGTACACAGTCCAGGTAGGAGGAGCGTAAACTTGAAGCCCAGGTTTAGCGTGAGGCAGTCGTGGAACTGATCATCAGGCAGGAGCGTAAGCGTGGCAGGGGTAAGGCCAGGTGTAGGGCTTCGAAAAGGTGAGACTTCGTGCAGTTACTAGGTCTCGTGAAGACCAGATGCCTCCAAGGACAGTACAAGAATGACGAGCGTTTGGTAGAGCGCGAGGGAGTATCGAAATTCGAATAGCCAATTTTGAATTTGAAATGAAGAGCCAAAATGAGAGCAGCCAGGAGCGGAAACGCTTCTACTGCTAAGATTGCATATCAAAGGCAGAGTAATTTATAGGAAAGTCGCGAGGTCGTCATTAAGTTCGGCGATTAAATTGTCCACATCGTAAACAGGAGACTGAGAATAAATCTGAAGGTCGTCAGTATACAAATGATACTGACAAGAAAGTAAGGGAGTTTACAAAGATGGAAAAAAGAAGAGGAGAGAGAACCCCGCCCTGAGACACTCCTGCAGTAACGTCACAGAAGTTGCTGAATGCTTATTGTCGATACGAACACATTGCCGACGCCCAACAAGATAGTGGCGAAACCACTCTACTACCAAATCTGACACAAGGACAGATTTTAGCATTGCTAACAGGATGTCAAAGTCAACAGTGTTGAACGCGTTGCTGAAATGTAAGAGAATTCATACTGTCAGATGTTGATTCGACATACCCTCGCGAATGTCATCAGATACCTTGGTTAAGGCAGTAACAGTGCGATGCCCCGAGCGGAAGCCAGATTGGAAAGGACTAAGGATATTGTAGGAGTTCATGAATATTGTGATCTGGTGATGGACAAGATGCTCAAGAACTTTGGAAAGGAGTGGAAGAATAGAAATAGGACGAAAGTGAGAAGGTAAATATGGATTAGAGGTTTTAGGTATAGGTCCTACAGCAGCTTGACGCCAGCAGCTTGGGAAGGTGCCAGTGTCGAGAGAAAAGTTGAAAATAAGGCAAAGTATAGGAACAAGAATTGAAGAACGGTGTAAGATCATCCTACGGTTTATTCCATCCAGCTCTTGAGCATTGGATTTAATGGCCAAGATATTTTTCTCGACTTCGCCCTCGGACACGGACCTAAAAGAGAAAGCCGGATGTTGTGAGTCATAAGCGATAGAGAGTGACTTCAGCGTAGATTGCTTAACACTAGCAGAAAGAAAGGAAGGCGTTGTGAAATGAAAGTTCAAAGAGTTAGGATCAAGATTTAAAGGAATAGGAGATTTAGACTTGCCAATACCAAGGGTATTGAGAAATAGATAGATAGATAGTTTATTTGCATACAAAGAACACAATACATGAAATACAAAGACAGAACAAACAATGAAGTAAATACTTAAAACGAACAAAAACAGGATTATATAAACAACAGATACAAAATCAAATCAACTTATAATAGAAAAAAGTATCATGTGTGCTGTCGTGAAATGACCATACCTTAGCAGGATCACCATTGGAAACTGAGGCATGTATGTGACGGCGCTGCGCATCCCTGCATACCCTGCTGCAACAGTTCCGAAGATCCTTAAATTTACGGTAGGTTTCATCCGAGGGATTGTTTCCATATCAAACCTTGGCAAGATTGCGCCTGGAGCCGGAAGATGCTTCAGCCGGATAGGACGGAGCGTGTATGTGATATGAGCTGGATAAGCATCGACTTGAAAATGTCCATCTTCAGGTCGATAGTTGGGGCTCTAAGAATAGCGTCCCAGTCAATACCGCTAAGGTCACGCATAAAGCTACCTTCATCAAGTTCTTAAAATTGCGCTGCATGACCACCCGAGGTTTAGGTTTATCATTGTAATAAGAATTTTATTGATGATGTAGAAAATAAGCCTCACAATTGGCAAATCTATTCTCTTTGTCATAAGTAACGCATTTGCATTTCGATAACTATATTTTTTCAACATTTCGATATTAATAGCAGTACCATATATATTTCTGCCGCTAGGCAGTAGTGTGAGGATTGCTGTGTTCCGGTTTTGAAGGATTACGGGTGCTGGTGAAATGTCAGGCACATGGGGCTTGTCAACTTATGTCTCAGGGTATCGGGCGCAGGAGCAGTGCCACTCAGATCTTTGCGATTTAAAGCTCTGAGTGGTACTACAACTGCGATGGACAGGCGTGTCGATTAACATCAGGCGCACGACTTGTTCGTCACGTCACTTAAATTAATATAAAAAAATAAAATAAAAAAATAACTTTCGAGATACTGGCACCTAAAGTTTTTTTGCTAATAGGTATAAAGTGTCAATTACGCTGTTTTCGCTTAAAAGAAAAAAGATATAAAAAAACCGATAAGAGGGGGTTGTAGATCACGTTTCGGCGATTTTCATTAAAATGTCGATTATGTTAGTTGTGATAAGGAAGGCAGCATTCATATTTCGTTGTAAAGTTGACGTAGACGCATAGGCCATCGCCTGTGCATCTACGTCTCATCCCATCCCATCGTCCCATCGGACGATTTTCTTAAGTACAAAACGCATTTCGAATTGAATCATGGACGCGGTTTCCAGAAAAATTGTAAGAGTTACAATGAACATGGAACATTAAAACGGTTATTCATCAGGCACTCTCTATTATGCGCACGTTCTCGGCGCTTTGAAAAGAGTACATTTTTAATGAAAAGAACACTACCACTACGATTTCCGCCGGGTTTACTTCTGAATAATGCAAACAATCTAAAGAAAATTGTTTACTACTTTTAATAGCAACTAAATACTACAATAATGAGAATTCGTACCGTTGGTGTAATAAAGACACATTCGATGATACGGCAAAAGTGCTTTTATCACATTAAAGTCACTAAAATATGACGAACTACGTGAAACAAATTATGTATTAGTAAAATGTTGTAACTTCTATCTAAGCATAAAAGTTATCAGCTAATTTCTTTCGTAGAATCTTTAAAACTCATAATTTTTCAGATGCAACCTTATCACACCCAGAGTGCGATTTTTTTTCAATCGTTGCATGAAATTTTCAATGTAGTTACTATTATTTGGTTATCAATACTATACGAGTTAATATATAATAATTTATTATAAGTCATCGGCATTTCAGAGGCAGGTTGTTCTATTTTAACTTGCAGTTATGAAAATAATTTCTTTTTTTATAGAAACGTAAACGTAAAAACGATAGTTCGATATCTATATTAGTTCCTTTTGAAGCTAGATGTAGTGCATTTTCAATCTTACCTGGAACATATATTCCCCAAAACTTACAGAAACGGTTTCCCAAGCTGAAAGATTTCAAACGCACTCATAACTGACTACGATGACTGTCTTAACAACTATCATAATATCTCGTCAAGTTCTCTAATTGCCTGCGCTATTATGGAACACAAAAACTTCGGAGTACGTGACTTATAATGTACTTAGTGTTGTTTTGGTAATTAATTGCGTAACCTGAAAAACTGGGTCGGCAGTAGATAACGTTACTGTCGGATTTGTCCGCGTGCTTATCTTTATGAAAAATTCTCTAAATTTTGTTTAGTTCATTTTTGGTGCATTTACATTTTAATAATGGTTATAATTTAAGTGTTAGTAGTATTTACATGATTTACTTACTGATTTTAAATGTTACTTAATGACGTACGTCAAAGGTTAAATATAAGAAAAAACGATTATCATTAGGTTTCTGTTATTGGTTTATATATATAGATATTATATAACTATTGCAATAAAAAACCAAATTGCCGTGTTAATTTGTGTGTATAATGAGATTAAGATGTCAGCATATAAGGCGAAACGCGAAATCCAATTTGATTGAAACGATGTATCTAGTTCGTAATCAATATCTAATAGTGCTATCTGGTAGCAAGATAGCCTTTGCTCGGTTATCAGTAGGTTTACCGGCCGGCGGGTCGGTTGTTATCACACGGGGTTGATGAGCAACGGCTTTAGGAATTCTGTTAATCCTGCGAGTGCTACGAATGATTAAAATGTTTACAAAAAATGTTTTTTTTTATTTAACGTGGTTATGGAAGGTAGATATTTTGTAGTATAATACAGTTTTATAACAATTCTACATTGTCTCAAAACCGTAGAAACAAGGATTCGCTTGCTCACCCTCTCTGGAAGAGATCGACATTGTAGAACTTGTAGAGTTCGACGGAGAACTCGAAGGTGGCCTGCAGGTCGCTCATGGTGCGTGAGTGTAGGGAGGGGCGCGGGCGCGGGCGGCGCGGCGCGCCATGCCGCGGCCGCTAGCAGCGCGCTGGACCAGCCGGCGCAAGGCCTGACATCTCACAAACAGCACTGCACAGCACTCAACCACGGCACGACCACACCCGGCACTGTTCGCACTCGCGCTGCTGATCGAGTTTTCGTCTCACCGCACGAAAATAGAGCGCGCGACGCGGCGACTGCGAACGCCGTACGGCTCACAGTGCGGGAACCAGGAATTCATTTTTTAGTAGCGGACGGCACGCATGCGCAAAAAGGCCGCGCCGTCGCGCCGCCTGGCCTGCAGCAGTGCGCGTCTCGCCTCGCCCACCTAGACAGGTGCTCTTGCAATAAAACGTTAATCCACACTCGAATCGCCGGTTGGATGTTATTATGAGCCGGCCGTCTTGGGGATATGTTGCTGCGTGGTAATGCGGCACGATGACTTTCTCCCGCGGGAGACAATTTAAAGGTCAGGGGGCGGCGGCGGTGACGTTGCTTAGACTAGCAGAGCGGGCCTCTAGGGATCCGCGCAGCGCCGTATTGCGACCTAACCTTTTGTCACACCTGCCGAACCCACGATCCTAGATACATCCGATAACGCCATTTCATGAATACCTGTCTGCGGCAGGGCTACGATTAAGGTCGGCCTTTGGTGAGATTGTATGTTTTACGATCACGCAAAAAGCCGCGCCGATATCTTCCACGGTTTCGCAATACACGACATAAAGCTAATACCGGGATGTAGCTGAATATTTCGGGAGTTGTAACCACGTGATTCGTTATTTTTAGTATACATTTCACAAAACAAAATTTTTTGTCACGTTTTTTGAATAATGCTTACCTACTGATTTCAACACATTTTTATTTTAGTAAGGAGGAAATGTTTTTTTTTTGCTTACGCAAATATAAATACCTGTGTGCTATTTTGGGTTAAAAATAACATAATATTCAGCATTAAGTAAGAGACACTAAAAATAGATCGCCCACGAAGAAGTTTGAATTCCGACATTGGAAAGTATTTAGAAATCATATACATAAGTAAATTTGGGTACCGTTGTGTTCAATGCAAAAGGTCATAGTTCAGTTTTGGGGTGGTCGATACTAGCGGGTTGAAGGAACGCAACGAGGTATTGCAGAATAAAGACGGGCGGCGCTCGCGTTGGGCTCCACTATAATAAAGTTGGATTGCGTGTCTTTATTCGGAACCCTTTTTGGGATTCCCTCAAAGCGATATTCAATCAAATAAGACTTGCGTAGGAGGGTGCCTTTTATTTCGACTTTATTTCATCATAAGTTTCTTATTTTAGAACACTTAAAGTTTACTAGTGCTGAATCTAGATATGATTTTCTACTTAAGTTAAAGTCTTATATACAAAAAATAGAATTAGGTATTAAACTTAAAATTTTGAAAGTACTCCTTCTGTAGGACTTGAGGTTGGATATTGAAAATATATTCCTTGTGAAAGAGTTCGTCCAGGGAAGTACTGCCACCTCACCTATTCCCGCTGCCAAGCAGTCATTTGAGTATTACTGTGTTCTGGTTTCGAAGCGTAGGGGTGCTGGTGAAATTATAGGCACATGAGACGTTTCAATTTATGTCTCAGGCGACGCAGTGGCAGCGTGTCTCAAATCTTTGAGATATAATGCAGTGATTGGCACTGTAACTGCTATGGACGTGTACGCCATTTACCTGCAGGTGCACGGCTTATTCGTTTCGTCATAAAAGAAATATAATATATTTATTCATAATTATTATATTAGTAGTACTACAACGAGGTGACCTCATAATGACGTCATTATTTATGGCATGGTAAAGACTTTGCCAAAAAACAGTGTTCGAATTTAAAATTGTAGAACAGACTTGCAAGCTATCAGGAGCGCAAGCTTGTATTATTAATACTGGTATGCGATTCCGACACATTACTGATCATTATCAGTCCATTTCTACGTCTGTACACGGGTCTCCTCTCAGGCGAGGGTTTAGGCCATAGTCCGCTGTACTGACTCAATGCGGATTGGGGATTTCACACGTTTTCCGAGAGTTTTGAACCTTTTTCGATGTGCAGGCTTCATCACGATGTTTTTCGCCACTGAAAAGCTCATAGAAATTTCAAATTATATATCGCTCATAAATTCCGAGAAACTCAGGTGCACGTCTGGATTCGAACCCACGGCCTCGGCTTGAGAGGCGGTAGGTCAAACCATTAGGCTACCACGACTTGTTTATTCAAACAAAAACTTTGGGAGCTACGATGTTACAGTCAGACACATAAACAGAGACATTAAATAGAGATATTAAAAGCTCTCCCGCCTTTTGGCGTCGGGAGTTAAAAAGACCATGGAATTTCGGAAAAAAAAATTTCGAAACTTACAGCCCGTCTCGTTTCTAATAATCATAAATAAAAAATTGCATGGACTATTGCATACAAAACACAAAAATAAATAACAGAAACCTTTTAACGCACTACAATATGCTAGTCACTGCCATTCAAACTTCGCATATACAATTCTACTTTACGAGTTGATAGCGTATTTAGGTAGCAGATAAAGTAGGTACACAAAGCAAGAAAGCAGGACTGCGACAATGGTCGATGTGTACAATAGACAAGTATACCACTCAGCATATTGCTCGCGGTTGCAAAAGAACAAACGTGCGGCACAAAACAAGGACACATATTTCTTTTTATACAATGTGTTTTTTTTAATACGTATATCGTTTTAAAAATATTTCTATTACTAAAGTTCTCTCAATTTAGAAAAAGTCTTATGCTCAAACTTTATTCGCGTGGAGCCAAAAAATAAAGAACAAGAAGAAGAAAATGGCCATATTTGGATAAAAAAGATTACCCCCGAAAAAATGTCGCGAAAAATTAATTATTAAAGAAACATTACAATTTAATACCTGGCGGTATGGCACATTCGACACCTTAGACTGACCAGAAAGACGAAATGTTTTACTATATAGGTACCACTATTGCACGAAAAATCACACACAACAAAAAATGACACGCATAAGTTTTATTTATTGCAGTAAGCAGTCTTTCTATAATACTATGCAACAGTTTACATTTGTGAATGAGCCGTAAATTCAGTACACTGCTTACATAGTCGGGATATACTTCCCCGTCTAACGTTTGGTAAAGGCCCGATGGTTCACTAGAGCGTGCATGTTGAGGAATAAATCACCTGGCTGCTGCAGTATTTAATCATGCATTTTGCTTGCACTTTGCGTTCTGCACTCGGCGCTCTAGCGTGAAATGCAACGCGCTACGAGCAGGCGTTTACTGTTGAGTGCAGTATCTAAATGCACCTCTGGCTTCGCTACTGTGGGAATAATAAGTATCTGTTCCTTTTGCAGGTGTATGAATTTCTTTACGAGATATTTTTCTCTATGGTGTTTTTAGATTTATGAAGCAGTATAAAACCTCTTTTCAGCGAAATAGACTTTAAAAATATGATCGAACTAGTAGTAAAGAAGATGTATATTATACTTATTTCATTCTTTCAAGTTACAAAATGTAAAGAAAGCTGTATTAAAATAAACAGTAAAAAAGAACTTTCATTATTATAAAATTATCATAAATTAAATAAAACAATATTTATTGTACATAAAATCATATAATTAAAATTTTGAACTGTAATAGGGTACCTAGTTGCGATGCCTAAACTAAGTAAATGAGTACCTATGTAGATATTTTAGGCGTCTTGTTTGGGCTTACTTTGTTTGTATTAAAACAAATTTGGTATATTTATTGAACAATAAGACAATTAGTTGTTAGTAGTTAAATAATATAAATTAATAGTAGTATAAATGTAAATATGAAATAACTTTAGCAAGCCTTCTGTGTTATTAAGTCTTATTCTAAAGCCAGGATTTGACGATGTTTTTACATTCTAGCTTATTGATGGGGAAATAATCGTAATGCAAATTAGAATAAAATTTAAAGTAAAGGAATGTGTCATGGAAGCAGAAGAATCTATCCGAGTGCGCTGTGCGTCTGTTGTGAGAGCTTTATCAAAATTATTTGTAGGATAAACAGATAGGACATCGTACTCGTTTATGAGTTTGTGGGTCGGGTAAACGAACGGACGGAAGTTGATGCGCTCTTTCTAGAATGTATAATAGTGATGTTGCATCAATGATAATGCTTAGCAGAAATAGATGTCTGTAAAATATAAAACCCCACAATTTTTAAAGCGGGTAGCATGTTTTTTTTGTTTACATATAATGTAGTTATAGGTTTTATGGATGATTTTATACATTTTTTATGTTGGTTTTGCGAGTGTTATTATTACATGAATAGCATTACGTGGGTTAGAGGTGTATTGATCTAGATATCAACTGTGCGAGTGAAATGTGAAAAAAAGGAGGAATATGTTTCTTTTCCTATGTAGTTACGCGATAACTCCGGCCAACCGACTTTGATGATTCATTTTTTGTTGGAAAAAGGGTACTTGGTGTAACGGGCTAGTGTCCGCAACTCGACGTCAAGGCGCCTATTTTGCGTGTGGTGGGTGCAGGGTCCTACTCGTGCCACCCAAGCTCCTCCAGGAATCTCAGCAGCCTCCTCGGTTTGCTGAAGACTTCGGGGAGTGACCTTGGCACTCCAAGGTACTTTGCCCTGTAGTTGGCCACGCCGGAGCACTGTAGTAGGATGTGCGCAGCCGTTTCCTCCCCCTCCATGCACGCTCTGCATACAGGGCTGTCTGTGATACCTAAATTGAAAAGGTGTTTATTGTATGGACCATGACCTGTTAGGGCGGCAGTTAGAGTGCGAAGCTCTTGCCTGTTGAGTTTAATTAATATTCGTGATAGACTGGCATTGAGCGTTGGGAGTGCTTCCCTCGCCTGTCTAGAAACCGTAAGGGTGGTCCATGTATTATTATGTGAAGTTTTTGTACCTTTGTGTATAGTTGTTCTGTCCTTTAATCCACTGTAGAGTTAAGTGGTTTTGTATACATACCTCCATGAGTGCTTGATGGCATTCATAAATGAGCCCTGAGTTTATGTCATAGCTGTTCAGTGCTTGAAGTACTGACATACTGTCAGAGAGTATTCGAATGGAGTGGTTCTTTACTCTTCTCGCTATGATTGCTTCTGCCGCCAGCTTGATGCCCATGCATTCAGCCTGGAATACTGTGTTGTGGTCACCAAGC